TCGTATAATGTATGCTATACGAGGGTATTAGTAAAAATTCAATTAGAAGCTTAAAAGGGGTTGCCAGAAACCAGTAAATGACGTTGTGATGTTATCTCTCAGAACAACTAGGGTTGACTGCAATAGTTCTGAGGGATAACATCACAACGTCATTTACTGGTTTCTGGCAACCCCTTTTAAGCTTCTAATTGAATTTTTAATAAACCCTACGATTAAACTTTGATATCGGCGTTGTTATGTTTTATTCCGACATCTTATAAGATTAATTTATATGCATTGCAGATAGTCGAAAGGTCGGTCAAAACGTTTATGATGAATGCAGAATAAAAAAGATAATAAATAGACAATCAAAATCCTGCGTTAGCTCTTGATTTTCCTTTTGTCTAATTTTTTGCAATATTAGTCATCGACAATAAATATACTGTAGCACGATCTGTTTTCATATTATAACTGCAGAAATAACAATATAAAAGATATTGATATATGTATACAGTAGCGCGTTTACCTATGGGCTTTTGGGGCTTGAGCCCCTGGGCGCCGCAGCTTCTATATATTCTTAAAAAAATGTTCCATTTTCAATTATCTTCTTGTTCTTAAGTGTGTTTCGGTAAAATTTAATTAATATTCAAAATGTTAATTATTTACTGTTTACTCATTGGGGGAAGAAGGCTAGACTGAGGCGCTCGAAAATCACAAGCCCCTGGGCGCAAATTTTACAAACGCGGCCCTGTATGTATAGATTTAATCTTAAAGTAGTTTGTATGACATGTATCGTAAAATTTTATTTTTCCAAACAATTGCAATTGTATAAATTAAGAGACAGTTACAAAATGTGACTTTTCTCGAGAAAAGCAACCATTTTCTCGCTCGATGACTCATAATTCGATTATATTAGTCATTTTTTTATTGCAAAACAATAAATTTGTTTCACGATTGTTGGCACGCTATCGATTTTTTAACTGATGAAACTTTCACGGATACTTTTCAATCATATATGTAAGCCATGGCCTTCGATTGTATATCGAATTCGTTTTAAATCCAAAATTGTTTATTTTTTTCGGTATTCCAACCACTGAGTAAGGATTACTGATATTTATTTTAGGTAACCAAAAGAGATAAAGTCTACCAAATAGTTGAAACAACCGACCCTAAAGCGAGATAATTATTTGTTGTGATTGGACAATGCCTTTTGTGAAGGCTTAGACGGTAATAATTCATGATCAATTAATATCGGTGTTTAATAACAATTTTATTGCGCAAATAGTTTTTACTGTTTCGTAAAGCTAATCTATGCGTTTTATTTCGATTTTATCATTCTACCATCATCGTTTTTTGTCGATTGAAATTGTTAAACGCAACGCAAATCAAAATAATGTGATCATTCAAACTAGGTTAGGCTGTCATTATAATTGTTGGTTAAATTCAATAAAACTATAAAATGTTCTAATTAAGCTTATTGTTAACTTGTTTGGCAGCATGGTAGTACAACTAACTTGAAAAAGAAGATAACGAAAACAGAGCATAAGTTGTCATTATATGGATAGAAACATTGGTATTGTAGAAGAATTTGCAATATTAATTTTATAAAATAGTCAAACTGGGCTCAGAAAAATTGAAAAATTAGATAAAAAAAAGATCAAAAGCCATCGCAGGATTTTAGTTACTTATTTATAATCTTTTTTATTCTGAAGTCTTCGTAAACATTTCGGCCGACTTGTCGACCATCTTCAGTACATATAAATTAATCTTATGAGATGTCGGAATAAAATATTACAACGCCGATAACAAAGTTCAATCATAGTCCAGAAAATATTAAAAATACAATTAGAAGTTTTAAAAGTTGTCAGAAACCAATAAATATGCCATTGTGATGTTATCTCTCAGAACAACTAGGGTTGACCGCAGTAGTTCTGAGATATAACATCATAATGGCATATTGGTTTCTAGCAACCTCTTGTTGTTAGAACTGAAGATGGTCGAAAATTTGGCCGAAACGTTTACGATGAATTCAGAATAAAAAAGATAATAAATAAGCAACCAAAATCCTGCGTTGGCTTTTTCCTTAAGAAAATTTACTTTTTAAAACTTAAAAAAAAATAACTTAAAAAAATTTTTTGATTTACTATAAAACTTTTTAAAAGTTTGAAAGAGTAAATTAGAACACTTTAAAATAGGATTTACTTTTCAAAAATTTTAAAAAATTTTTTTAATAAATGAAAAAGTGTTCTTAAATTATTTTTTTTAAGTTTTATATATTAAATTTTCCTAATATTAATAGTAGTGAATACAAATGTGTAATACAGAAGTAATAAACAAGGAAAAAGAATTTGCAATTAACCTGCAGATTTTTTAATGAAATTTATTAATTTAAATGCAATTATTAAATAGATCCGTTGAATAAATAAGCATATTAATAAAATTTACATAGAAATAAGTTAACATATTTGAACAAAATGCAAACAAATGTGAATTTGTTACCAACCCGTTCCGCTTTTCCGCGCAAATTGTGCTCCATGTAATATAAAGGAAAACAATTCATAGAAATCATCGCGGAACAGAACGCGCGGAAACGCGGACATCTAGTAAAGTCTAACAAGTTTGTCTTTCGCGTTTTCGCGTTTCTGCGTTTCCGCGTTTCCGCGCATCATGTAATCGCAGCCTTAGGCGGTAAATATTCATGATTTACATATTAACATGGGCGTTTAATAACAATTTTATTGCGCAAGTAGTTCTTGCTGTTTTGCAAAGCTGATTTGTGCGTTTTCTTTAATTTCGATTTTATCATTTTGCTATCGTTATTTTTCCGTTTATCATTAAACGCAACGCAAATCAAAATGACGTCATTCGAACGAGATAAGGCTGTCATCATAATTGTTAGTCAAATTGAATAAAACTATGAAATGTGAACATAGAATTATTGTGGGATGTTAAACAAAAGTGTTAAAGTTTAAAATTCATATATACAGGGTGTCCCGCGAGACTTGTCCCTCCGGGAACAGAGATGTAGATGGGATCGAAATAAATATAAAAATCCTTTACCGTTTACGATATTTGCAATAATAAACGAAATATTAATTTTTACATTTGAACTAATGAGAGCGCGTCGGGAAAAGCGCTCCAGCCGCTCGAGGTCTAGCCCCAAGATCTATAGAGAGAAGGTCACCTCATACGCAAAGAGGGACGAGCGGCAAAAGGGGTAAATGCTGAGAGGGGCGAGCGGCAAGAGGGGCAAATGCAGAGAGGGGCGAGCGGCAAGAGGGGCAATGATGATGTCATCTACAAACAGTAGCTGTCTCTCTCGGACGCTTTTGTGTTTTCTCTCTCGCTCCTTTAATATAGAAATGCTTTGAGTTTTTATCGAAACAATACTTTTATTTTGTAAAATATTGATAGCAGTGGAAATTGTGTAATAAAAATTGAAAAGTAAATTAGAAAGACGCCATAAATTACATTTATTGCAAATTATGGCGCTAAATATTTAACGTTTATAATGTTAAATATCACTGCAACAGATGCATTTGTAATACAAATTGCTTTGTACTCGTATTTAGACTGTAATATCAATGAAAATAAAATATAATTTGGAGATATACACAAAAAACATCATTTGTAAAGTAGTAAAATAAAAGAAAAAATAGTGCATATTTAAAAATTATTTAAAAAATAATATTCACTGTTTATATGCATTATTTACAAAAGAAATACTATAAAGAGATTTATTTTTTATATTTAATTGTAAAAACAAAAATTGTCAAGAAATTGTAACTGTGAAATTCATAAATGTAAGTACAATTCTAGGGTAATATAAAAAGCATCATACAGAAATTTATTATGATACAAACTTAAATAATGAAATTGTAATATATGTTTCAACATTGCAAATGTAAATATTTATATGATAAAATTTACAAAGTGTTAACAATTTTCAAATATTTGCTAATAAAATGTTTCTGTTGAAATCTTAAAATAATTCTTTAAAACAAATATGGTGGGGTATATATTAGGGATCATTAGAAATGCGGCAACATTGTGATTATAAAATTTTATAAGTATCTATAGTAATAAAAATACATATATGTTGTATTAATCTGTGAATTGCGATTAATTAATTAATAATTTTTTTATATTTATTGGCGACTCTTCTTTGATTATCTTCAGCTTTCCTCTTATCACATACGTGCTTATTTGGCTACGTAATTTTTTTTGGCAATATTATAAAATTTAATGCGTACATAAGTTTTTTGGAGAATAAATGCACGTACTAGTTCTTTAGGTACGTCGATATTTTTCTTCTTTACTACTGCCATAGTTAAGTTTTTAACAACGGCAGGTCTTTTCTGTAAACCATCTTTATGAAATTTACAAAAATATTTATCCATTCTTTTAACTTGGTTCAGCCATTCTGTAGATGGCTGTGTCAGTCCACCATAAGAAATGTGTTGCAACCAATTCGGGAATACATAATTACGTTCGATATTCGACTCAAATGTATAGTACCCCAAAGTTGGATATTTGTACTACATTAAACTAAAATTTAATGTAATAATTTTAAAAATCAGGAAACTATGATCGATGTATAGAACTATTAAACACAGAATTATAATTAATATACTACATTATGTTCAAAATTGATATAATATAATGATTAGTATAAAATATAAAAGCTAAAATTAAAATATATAAAAATAATAAAATATATAAAAAATATATATATATACATAAAAATGTCATAAGTGTTTTTTGTGACATAATAATAGTATTGTACAATGTTGAAAAAATGATTCAAACTACATTGTAGACAATTATATACTTTCCCAGATAGCACAATGATATTCTGAGGATATTCTCAGAATATCGAACCATATTTTTCAAATATACTGAGAACATTCGTAGGATATCTAAGATATTCTGAGTATATTCTCAGTATATCCAAATGTCCGCTTTTTTAATATTTTTAGTATATTCTCTGTACATTCTCAGTATATCTTCTGAATATTCTAAGTATATTTTCTATACATTCTTAGTATATCTTTTGAATATTCTCAGTATATTTTCTGTACATACTCAGTATATATTCTGAATATTCTCAATATACCCAGTATATCGACGATTTAATTCAAATAGACCCTAACAAAAAATTAAAATTTTATAGATGTTTTATTTATTTATTTTTTTTAATTAATTGATAAGTATTAAATTTAGGAAACGTTTTCTAAATTTAAAATTTATTAATTGATTAAAAAAATATTAAATTTAGAAAACGATTTCTAAATTTAATATTTATTAATTGATTAAAAAAATAATAAATGAAACATCTCCTGTAAAATTTGGATTTTTCAGTTACGGGGTATTGGAATTAAACCATTGATATCATACCATATCAAAAGAACATAATTTTAAACTATAATATTTTAAGTTATTTTTTTAGATTACAAGTACTTTTTTAAATAATTGAATAAAATTTAAAGGAGATAATACATATATTTTATTTTGTTTTGCAATATATTATTTTATAGCAATATATATATATTATTTTTATTAGTCACAGTTTATTTTATATTTTTTTATATTATATTTTATTTTATTTTAAAAAAGTAAGTATATATATCTTATTTTGAATTTTTTTGGATTCTCTCTTTAGCGTGAGCCAACCAAGTTTTAATAGGCGCCGAAAATTCTTCTTCAGTACATTTTTGGTATTTACATCTCACCATATCTGTAATTACAGTCTAGATTAATATTCTTTCAATGATATACTTAATATCAAAAATGTACGTAAATAAATAATCGCATGTGGCCATTAACTGAATGTTTTGCAATCCAATAATGCTGAAATATATTTATAAAGATTTGAATTATAATTGCAATTTTTAGACTAATTAGCATAACTTAAGTTATGCTTTTAGGTTAGGTTTTATTATGAAATTGAATATATATAATTAAGACGTTTCTTGATATTACTCATACCACCATCTGTAGGAATACTACAAAAATTGAATATTATATTTTAGATATGCTGAGCATATTCTCACAATATCTGAAAACGGAAATTATACTTCGGATATTCTGAGCATATTCTCAGTATATCTAAAGGCGGAAAGCATATTTCAGATATTCTAAACATATTTTCAATAAATCTAAAAATGAAAATTATATTTCAGATATTCTGAGCATATTCTTAGTGTATCTCAAAAAGGATATCATATTTCAGATATTCTAAGAATATTGTGAAAATATTCTCGTATATTCTCCGTACATTCGTACATTTATAGAATATACTGAGAATATCATGTGCTATCTGGGTTGTGGAACGTAGGGAGAATGAAAAAATAACTATAGTTATTTTTTCATTCTCCCTACGTTTATAAGCAACACGTACCTTAACACAATGTCGGCTATTTATAACATAAATATAAAATTGTTATAAATAGAATGCATAGATTAGTTTTTATTAACAGCAAGAACTATTTGCACAAAATAACTAAGCAACTACGTACCCTATCACAATGTCGGCTATTTATAACATGAATATAAAATTGTAATAAATAGAATGCATAGATTAGTTTTTATTAACAGCAAGAACTATTTGCACAAAAAAATTGTTGTTTAACAATGTTAGATAGTTTAACCGATGTCAGTTGATCATAATTAATTACTCTTCTAAGTCTTCTCAAAAGCTATCCAGTCAGAATTCAATTATCTCGCTTCATTCTGCAGTCTGTATAATGTTCTCTTTAATTATCAT